AAAACTGTTGAAAATTAATTTTTCAAAAAAAAAATAAATAAATAAATAATAAGCAAATGGCCAAGCACACATAGCCTAAAAATAAATAGTTGGAAAAGAATTTTTGTCTTGATGAATAATTTGAAATCATTTGCATAGATCATCAGCAAAAGATGCATTATCATCGGAACATTTAGATGAAGGAGCACGTCCAGTATACTCGAAACAATTTGGTAATAATTCAAATTACTCAAAAAATTTACTCAAATTACTAATTTATACTTTTAAAAAATCTTCTTTTTTCAGTGCTAACAAATGATATACAACATTTTATACCAGAATATATACGTGAGAAATTTCATGAACCAATTGAGCCAAATTTGTGTACAATTAAAGTAACTTGTAAAGCTGAAAAGAAGGAGTAAGTAGTTTGTTGCGTAGAAAATTTTGAATTTCATAATTTTAATTATTTTATAACTTTTTAATTTTAAGATTTCCGACATTAATTCCATTTTTTTTTTCCTAATCATCTAAGAAATTTTTTATATTATAATTTGTAGAAATATGCATTTTAACCAAAAATCTATTCAGACAGCTATTTTATACATTTCAATTGAATTGGTATAAAGATAAAACGCATATCGACACTGACAGTAGTGATATGGTAATTTCCAAATCAGAAAAGTCACCGATAAATGGTATGCAAAATTAAGATCAATAATGTATTTGCATTGATTTATCCTTTCGTTGTTAGATATACTCTTGTTACTTAGATATTCCTACTGCTAAATCTGTTAATGAGTAGGCCGAATAAGTATTAAATTATCGATTAATTGGAAAGAAAATTGATAATAGCTCTCTTTAGTAAAAAGTGGTTGCTTTAGAATATAAATCGATCATATTGCATTGATCCAATTATATCTTGATTTAATTTTGATTCACTTTCATATTACTTTTTAAAAATAAATTCTAAAACGAAAAAGATTGTCTTCTTTTTAAAAATATTATTCATCAATCAATAACAATGTGATCCATAATGATCCTTTTTTTATATCTTTCCTTTTGTCAGCGTTAACTGTAAACTGTTAAAACATTAAGCATTTCTTCCCAACTAACAGTAATATCCCATTTGTCATTTATCAAAATTTGCATAACTCAAATTTAATAATTTTATAAATAGTATATATGTGAATCTAATTATAGTAATACAACAAAATGAATTAAAACAAGAACGACCGTTGCAAAGTTTAGAAACAAGCGTTGAAATAGGTATGTATCAATCATTTTATCTATTTTTATCATCAAAATTTGTGCTCTTTTTATTTATCTTTAAAAAAATATTAAATGACAATGACGAAATTAAATATATTTTCAATTATTATAGCTCCAACAACAACATCAACAGGTGAAGAAATCCGTTCCTGTGATGGACCGTGTGGAAAAATGCGATCCGTAAAAGAACTTTGGGTGCATGGACGTTGTGAACACGCAATCTGTCGTTTTTGTACCATTAATGCACCAATGGTTAAAAATATTGATGGTAAAATTTTGATGAATAGTTGAGATAAGAATATTATTATTAATTTTGGAATATTTCAATTAATTTTGGTTTTTTTTTTTTTTTTTTTTTACTAACTTTGAAATATTTCACTATATAAGTTGCAAATGATAACTATGATAAATTTGAATTGTAATGTGCCTTATATATATTCCTAAAATTGAGAAAAAAAAAAACAAAAACAGAAACGATGAATGCAGCAGTATTAATTAATTGAAACAACAATTTTCAAAAAAAAAAAAAAAAAAAGGAATAAAAATAATTGAGGTAAAGAAATTTTTGAAAAGTTTTCAGGTACTCCAGGATGTTGTAATCGAGAATGTTTTGCAAGTGATTTAGCAGCACTTTGTCCAGATCCAATTCAACGTCATAAATATTTTCAAAATATTATTAATAAACGTAAAATTGACGAAATCATTGCAACAGGTCACAGAAATAATAGTAACAATAGAAAACGATTGCAGGAAGCTATGGTATTATATTGAAATTTTTCAATTTTTATAGAATATTGTATCAAAACGATAAAAAAAGAGAGAAAAAAACATTTATCTTTTGATTTTGATATTATCGAATTAAACTTAAAGAATATTTAAAATGTAATATCCAGTGAACATTAAAATTTTAAGAATTTCTAATATCTTAGTTAGATAATTCAGGAATACCACCATTTTTTTTTTTATAATATGGAAGATGAAATAATCATTTATCATTTTTGTCTGAAGAAGTTATCATCTACAACTCAAACTTCACCAGTAAACAAACGGATGGGAGCGAAAAGAGATTTGAAAGAGTTAATATCAGTTAAAGTGCTCATTCTCGAGAAAGGTCCAATAGGAACAATTTCTCGTCGTTGTTCTATCAATGAAATTGGCTCTACCGAATCGCTACGTAGCACATTGCAGTGGATTGCTGGCTATGGGTTTATATTTTATTTTATTTCATTAAATCGTTTTCCACACTAATTGTATTAATTAATTAATTTTTAAATTATGATTATTTAAAATTATGACTATGCTTTCACAAATTATCTAGACAAATATTTAATATTCACGATAAACTAATTACACTGCTATTGATGTTTAGTATTATAAATTTCAAGAATTCAAAATTATTACTTTTTATCCTTTGTTTTATCAGCTGTTCAAGTTTTGAATTAAAATTTAAAAATGATATTTTAGACAAAGCCTTCATAAATGTCGCATTTTTGTCAATTATGGTGAAAGTGATGATAATTCAAAGTTAAAAGAAATTAATTTAAAGCAATACGGTGATAAGAAAATTAGCAGTTTTCCATCAGTTAATGGAATGCTTAGTTTTGTGATTGATTACATCAATTTAATTGGAGGAAGTTCAACTTCATCCTATATTTGATCATTCAATAATTTTCACTACCGCTACGAAAATTCAATAAACAAATTTACAATTGAATTCCTTAATATTTATTAATAAATATCTCAACTATCTCAGTTTTCCCTCAATTTCGACGTCATTGTCAATTAATCAAGCAATTAAATTCAAAAAAGTAGTATTGAAATATGCCAAACTTTGTTACATCTATCTTATAAACATGGCACTTTTCTTTCAATCTAACTAAAAAAAAAACTAACAGAAGAGTTCTTAATTAGTTTAATTAGTCATATAGTTACTCATCAAATAGAATGAAATAAAGTTATAATGAAAAATTAGGATTATTTTATCGGTTATTAAATTATACTCATAGTTGTTTTTTATTTTTTTTAATCAAGGTTTAACTTTTAATTTCTTTACTTATTTACTTCAAATTAATTAATTTAGATAATTATAGCAATTTGTTCTGGTAGTGATATAATTTCATTAAATAATTTATTATCTTAGCACAAGAATAACAAAAAAAGATGAAAGCTAAAAGTGGCAATTTATGCTTATCAGTCAGCTCATCGGATAATTACTTATCAAACTTTTTTATCTATCCAATATACTTCAAATTAACCAAATCTTAGTGGAATGATTAATGTCTAATTTTTTTAACATTTTCTTCTATAATATACGATTAGTATCGGTGACATTGTTAATTTTAATTGGTCATTGTTAATTTCGAATGACCGATCACTACTGTCTATGCTATAAATCTTCAAATATTCGCTAGTGTTTTGCAAAAGTTTTTGAATTATTTTTGTGGACTGCAATAAAATGACCAAGCTCTTTTTATGATCTATTATCATGACCCTTTATGAGTCTTGAATTGTATCATATTTGACCTAATCTAATCTTTTATGAAATTATCAGAGTTAAAAAAAATTTGAAATAAAATGACAGTAAGATTTTTTTTTTGATAAGTAAATTAAACTCATTTATATATATGTCATTAATTTTTTTTGTAGGAAAAATGTACTTATTTTTTTGAAAAATGTATGTGTAATTAATAGAACCAAAAAGATAAATCTCAAAAATAAGGGGAAAAAAAAAGAGAAAACGGATTTTTATAATTAAATGAATTAAAGTTTTATTAATTTAATTCGTTAATTCAATCAATTTTAATCAAAAACTTTTACATAATAGAATTAATTGCGTATATATTTTCTAATTAGTACACATTATTATGTATTTTGCAAAATGATTGATGATAAAATTGTTTATTTTTTTTATCAATGATTATCGATTGTGGTCAAAAATATTCGATCGCAAATAAATTTTGGCGAATGTCAAGGAAATGTAATTTAATTTCGTATTCGTAATTTTCATAATAATTCAATAATCAAATATGTCCAATGATTTCATTCCATAAATTATTTGATTGATTATTCTTAAATTGATTAATTACTTTTCCTTAATTTACTCATAATTAACAACGAAAAAAAAAAATAATAGTATTGATGATACAATGATAAAAAATGTAGGAAATATTGTGTAAAATACAAAAAAAAAAAATACAATTTTTATTTGAACTTTTTTTTTAATTCAAAGATTTTGCTAATTAATTCACATATGCATAGATACACACACAAAATATATTTAACATAATGGAGCAAAAATATTTTGGCAAAATATTTGATTTTTAATTCAATTTTTTATATGTATAATTTTTGCTTTCGTTTTTTTTTTTTGAAAAAAAAAAAATAATAATACTATGAATGCTTTTGTTTTATTGTTAATTTTTAATTTTCTGTGAAAAGAAAATATTTAAAAGGTATAGAAGGAAGAAAAGAAAAAAAAAAAAACAAAATATTAAAATTGTAGACGAATTTAACATATGAATGAATGTATTTTATTTATAATAGTAAATTTTTTTTTTTTTTCTAATTTCAGTTTTACTTTTCCTTTTTTTTTTTTTTTTTTTTTTTGACAATAAATGATTTGTTAATTTGTATGATATTATTTTAAATAATTTTTTATAAACAATATGTTGAAAAAGAAATTTTACAAAAGTTAATTAATTTACAAAAATATGTGAAAATTATTTTCTATTAATCGATCAATTTTTTTGTCAACCACGTGGTTGATCATATCGTAATCCATTCACTTTATAAATGATATCTTCAATTTTGAATGTTTCTAAGCTTGGCATACCATCATTCTTTGGTTGCTGTAATAAAAAGAAAATTTTTTAAAATTTAGGAATAATTAATTATGTACTTAAATAATTAAATGAATGATATATTAAGTGAAATATATAAATAATTAAATAAATAATGTAAATATATCATTTTGATTATATTTTCTACTCTGAATTTGATAAACTTAACAAAAGACAAAGGACAACAACAAAAAAAAAGATTCATTTTTCTTTTTATCCAAAAAAAAAAATTTTCACAATTGTACTTTTTTAAATTTATTTTCCACAAATAATTAATTAAACTGTAAAATTTAGTAATTGCATAAATTTAGCTAAATAATTTACATTAATAAAAAACGAAAATAAAAATATTTCTAGCATAAAATTTTTAATTAAGTCATCAAAAAAAAAAAAATGAAAACAAACCCTGCAAATAACACCAATTGCTAAACCATCAATTTGTTGATTCCAAATTGTATAAGTGCCAGGTTTTAAAAATAATGTATTATATCCTTTATGAACAAAAATACATCCTAATGTTTTCACCACAGCTTTACCATTTTCAAGCACACAAATTTGTTCCACTTTTGATTTCTTCGTTTGTTGATACCTGTTTTATCAAATGATTTGCTTAATTAATTAATTAATTAAAAAAATGAAAGAGCACCAAATTAATTTTATTAACATATCATTAATAAATACATTACTATTATTTTTATTTTGTTTTGTTATTAAGTATATATAATTCTTATGATTTACCTGATAAAAACAAATTATCATTTTTCGAAAACATTACTTTTTTTAAAACTTAATTGTACCCAATATAATATTTTTCCTCCACTTTCATTTATTGTTTTCTCTTTTTTCTTTTTGTTTTCTTAAATTGACTTTTTAAAATTTTGTTTTTGTTTAAAAAAAAAAAAAAAAAAAATGAAATCAACAAAGACGAAAAAAAAAGACTAACTGTTAAAAATTTCATTCTTGTTAAATTAAATTTTATTTGAAAAAAAGTTACAAAACAGAATATTTATTGACAAAAAAAAAAAAAAAAAATCAAAAAATTTATTTTGTATTTATCATTAAAAGTTCCTCTCTAATCAACTAAAAACTTTTACCATTTAATTTCTTTCTAAGTAATTTCTAAAATTACTCTATTCAAAAATTTTTTTTAGCAAAAGAAAAAAAATGGAATAAAAAGGAAAAAGTAAAGAAAAGAAATAAAATCATACCATTTACATCCGACAACTCTTTCAACCGTTTCACCCTTTGCATCACGTACAACGCAACCAACCGGTTTATGCCGGTATTTATCCGGTCGTACCTCACACATAAACACCGTATCATCTTTTTGATAACGATCACCATCATAAAGTAATTTATCTTTGAAATGACATCCTACACAAATCTTCTGACAACGACCATTTTTGGTTTTGCAGTAGTAAATAAAATCACCATCCTAAAATTTAAATAAGTAAATTATTTGTTTTTATTTCATTAAATGGAAAAAAAAAAGGAAACAAAGTGTTATTTTATAAGTAAATTAATTTATCAAAAAATTTTTAGACTTTTTTTTTTTTTGTTAACAAAAAGGAATATAAAAGGTTAAGTGTACAATTCAATTTATCAATTTTTTTTAAAAAAAAGGGAAAAGTACAACTAAGCTGATACATTAATTTTATAGTTCAAATCTGCCATTAACTGAAAAATTTAAAAAAAAAAAAAAACTTTTTTTGCTAATTTTCTTTCATCACAATTTATTTTGCAAATAAAATTATCCAAAATGTTTTTATCGTTTTTTCAAAAAAAAAAGTTTCAAAAAATTTTTAAAATCATTACCGAAATAATAATATCTCAATGATATTTGAATTTTTTTTTTTCTTTGAATTTCTTAACGTCGAATTTTTTTCTTAATTTTCATAAATTTTTATTGCGAAAGGTCAACTATTTCATGGAATCAAAAAATTTAAGTCACTATTTTATTTTATTACTGGTCACTCACTAATATATATTTTAACTATCCGTAAAGGTCATTTTTTGACCTCATTTAACTTGCTTGATTGCTAATATCATCAAGAAATCAGTAAGTTTACACAAATTTTTTGTTCTTTAAAATTTTATTTTCTTCCAATGAAAAGTTCAAAAAAAATTTCACTTTTATAAATATTTCAAAAAAATTGAATAACTTGTAAAAGCAATTTAAAAAAAAAAAATATTTTTAAACATTGTCATCAAAAAAAGTTTTAATTGCTTTCTTCAATAAAAAAAAAGTCACCAAATTAATACAATTACGATGCAAAACATTACTTAACATTGAAAATTAATAAATGGAAAAGAGTAAAGCAGTTACCTAGAATTTAATTTAAAATAATTTATTCGAATTTATTTATATAGAGAATATTTAAATATATATGCAAAAGTAATCATTCATATTGATATGATCGATTTTAACTTTTAATTTTTTTTTAAACCATAAAATTGATTGACCCTTACATATCATATTTAATCCATTGTCACTTATGTTAACAAATTTTTTTTTTATTTTAAAATTTTATTTGTCGTTCTGCAAGAGTTCACATTTTCACTGCTAAATATTCCTCACTTTTCACCTTTTCTGTTTTTGAATTTGCACCTAACTGCACTTTTATTAAATACGTGCAAAAAAGTTATGAACATTACTCGAAACTAAAATCACAACAACTTTCAACTTGAAATTTATTACTGCACCGGAAAAAAAAAGTAATACCGGTTCTTCCGGTATAACTGAAACTGTCACATAGAAGAAAGTGAATTTGTTGTCTCATTTATTTTATGACAATTTATAGAACAAAATAATTTTTTTTTTTTTTTTTTTTTTTGTTTTGGCTTTTTATCTTTTACATTTTATCTATGGCATTCAGAAAATATAATTTTAAATAGTTTTGTAAGCAATTGTATCATTAATAGATTTAATTTTTGAATAATACTAATCATAAATTAAATTATAACGGATAAAAAACAAAAAGAAAAATGAAACATTTTGTTAAATATTAGATTAAATATTATAATTAGAAGTTTATAATAAAAATGTTGAATAATAATAATAAAATTAAGCAATAAGAAAATAATAATAACAGTGTTAAATTTCAATATTACTTTAATTTAATCCTTAATTTGTTTAAATTGAAAAAAAAAATATCTCTAAATAACAATCTTTGTATTACGAATTGCTTAATGAAAGAGCAAATTGAAGGTTTGAAATTACAAATATTTGAAATTATAAGCAAACTATCACTACAATTGACGGATAATACTGAACCTCCAAACATAATAATAATTTTAAAAGGACTGAAATTAAAAAAGAAGGCAAAATAAAGACGTAAAAAAATATAATATAAAAACGAAAAAAAATATAACATAAAAAAAAAAAAAAAACAAATTTCTAATTTTCAACGAAATGCTTTTTTATCTTTTGATTTAATTTTTGCAAAAACGTATGGGAAATACGTAGAAATGCTAAACACGCACGTTTAGGCACGTGTGGGAGAAATATGTATACACGTATATTTGTTTTCATCAAATATGACAGGGAAAATTCTAATGTAAATCAATTTTTGTGAATTATTTTGAATTTAAATTTCTGAATTTTAACGAATAAAACGTAAAAATGAAAATCGAAGTAATTTTGGAACAAAAGGGATAATTGATGAATAAATGAGAAATTCATTTACAGATATTGAAATTTTGATGATCTTCTGAATTATAGGCAGTGATCATTAAATAATCCATTAAATGTTTCGTATTATTATCGAATTTTAAATCCAAATTTATGATAATAATAGTAATAATAATGATAATTAATGATAATAATGATAACAATGGTAATAATATATAATAACAACAATATAGAATAATTGATAATAATGATAGCAGAGATTTGAGTTCGATTTACTGCTTGCAATTTCAATAATTAGTAAGCTGTAAATTCAAAAAAAAAAAAAAAAAAGTGGAATCATTTTAAATTCAAAATTTTGATAATAAGAAATTATGATAATAAAAATGATGAATGTTTTTATATTAATTGCTCAGCAGTGTTTTTTGTCGAGCAAATGTAAAATGGTAGTATTTTAATTGTTACAAATAAAAAAATAATCGATTTGTTGATCAAATAAGAGAGCTAATATTGCACTAACAACAAAATACTTAAGTAATTAATTCATTACAGAATGAATGCAATGTCTATAATATATTTATTAATTTCCTATGGAAAGTAAAATTTAAAAAAAAAAAAAAAAAAATGAATTTCTCGTTCAGTAGGCATTTTTAATATTTGCAATATTACAATGCGATGATACAAATAATTGATTGATCAGTTGATTGATTGGTTATTTTATTTGATTAGATTAGTAGTAGTTATAATGTTTGAAATACCAGTAATATTTATGATAATTTATTGATTTCAAGCAATAACCAAAAGTGATAAAAATTTTTCTCTTCCACTTATGCTAAATTATTATCATTGAAAATGGAAAAATATTAAAGATTTATTTAAAAAATTTAAATATTAAAAAAATTGATTGCGAAAAAAAAAAGGATGAAATTGATGGTTTAATTTTGATTAAATTCAATCTGTTCCTAATTTTTCTTTCTTTTTTGAAATTAAATGTAATATCATAATAGAGATACACATAGATATCTATGCAAATAATTTAGAACGAATTTTTAAATGGAATTAATATTTCTTTATTTCAATTTTGTGTTTGAAACAATCTATTCTAATTAATTAATTATTATATCCTAGTTTTTTAATGTAAAATTTCAATTAATCTATTCGTCATAGATAAGAAAAGAATTGTTAATTTTTTTTTTTTAAATAGTTATATTAAAGAGGAAAATCAATATAATTTCCTAAATAAAATTTTAATAATTTCTTAAATTATGCACCTAAGGAATGTATTTAAAAAAAAGTGAATGGAACATATAATTATGTTTCTAAAAGATAATAAATTTAAAAAAAAAAAGAAAAAAAGAACATAATAAATTTGATTTGGAATTAATCTGATAAAATATGTCATATGGCTATAAAAAAACGACAAGTAAGCATAATTTAGCTAATATTTATGTTTCGTTGGGTGCTTTTTGTTTTGTTTTTTGTTTTGTTTTGTTTTTTGAAATGTGAAATGAAAATAGTAAAACCAAATGAAGGCGGAAAAGGAAGTAAAGATTTACACAGTGCGCTCATGTCAACTGTGTCAAATCATTGCGCTTTCAATCATTGCTCACAAAAAGGTCAAATTAATGTCAAATGGAAAAAATCAAAAGTGCAAAGTGATTTATTTCATTTTCTTTTTTACACTTCATTATTTGGATTAATTATAAATAAACATCAAATGAAAATTTTTTTTAGATAAAATTAAATGACTTTGATTAATTTAAATCAAATAACACAACCTGTTCAACTGATCGTTTTAATCTCTTCCGAAATATTAAGTTTCTCTTTTTTTTTTAAAAAAAAAAGAGAAAGAAAAACGAAAAACATAAAGTAATTCATTTTATCGCAAAAAAAAAAAAAAAAAAAAAAAAACCAAAATACAAAAATCATTCATTGAATGTTCATTTGATATGATATTTTGATAAGAAATCATTATTGATTTCAACTGTGTGATAAATGAAATGAATTCATTTCTTCTAATAAACATTTTAAAAAGTGCAAATATAATCTGGTAAGTGTTTAAAGGAAAAATTTTCAAAAATATGGGATGAAAATGGTTTTAAATTGAAATAAAATTAAATATGTGTTAATTAATTTACACCAAAAAATAATTTATATCAAAAACTAAAGCATAATTGCTATGCAAATTTATGCCCAATTTTTAATTTTAATTGAATTAATTATAATTGAATTCTGGTACTAAAAATTTTAAGTGTATCATGTAAGAAATGGTGTAAAATATAACTCTAAATAAATAAATGAATTAAAATTTATTAACTTAAAAATATATTAATAAAAAATAAAGTTTTTTTTTTTTTTTAAAAAAAGACATTACTCAATTGCTAGAACTACTATAAGTGTTAATTGTTAAAAATCGCTAAGAGCGCTAATTGCTAGTAATTTGTTATTAATTAAACTCTCAATGTTAAGAACTTACTACTAATCAAAAATAAATCAAATGAAATTAATTAATATTTATTAATTAGTTTGTGTAATTTCTAATGAATGATATTTAAATTAGTGAAAAATTGAACTAATAAATAGAAAAATGAATAAATTTTTTTAAAACATAGCTTAAAAAATTGCCGACAATTTATTATTAATTAAATTTTATAAAAAAATATTTTTAAAATTCTTTTTTTTTTTTTAAATGTTATTCATATTTTTTGAATAGAAAAAAAAAAATGAAAAATAAAACTAACAGCCCATTGATCACCAATTTTATAATGCATTCCTTTATGAATACATCCAACTGAACACATTTGCACCGAACCGTTGTATTTCTTCAAACATTGATAGCTAAAATTTATTAAAAGAGATAATTATTAGTATTTTATTAAATTATTAATTAATTAAATATTAACTGATTATTTATTAAGTTTTAGACAAAAGAAAAAAGAAACCAAAAAGTCGACTAAAATATTTAATTAATTTAGATTTCCTATAAAAAAAAAAAAGTCAATTGATATTAATATAAAAAGATTATTTACAAAATAAAAAAATTAACTTAAAATTTTGATTCTGCTTTTTTTAATTTTTTAAAAAATATTGAAATTAAGATAAGACAAACTTTTTTTTTAGTGCTATGTTTAAATAATTAGTGTATTTTCTTTTAATCTTCTTTTTTACTTCTGATATTTTAAAGTGTTGAAAAAATAACGAAAAAAAAAATTAAAAATAAGGATTAGAAATTGAAATTTTTTATTTTTCAGCTTTAGATAATCATAATTTTTTATTAAAATAAACTTTATCATTAACACAAATAGGTTATGATACTTTTTATTGATTAAAAAAATGATAACACATTCAAAAAAGTGATAATATTTAATATGGAAATGATAAGCTTAAATGATGGAAATAGTAATATTTACATTTGAATTAGTGTCACCAATGTGTGACAATGCTTAATTTCACTTTAATTACTAAAAGATTTGACAAAAAAAAAAAGAAATGAATGAGTGAAACGTGAAACGAACGTGTATTCGCCGAAATCATACATTTCATTGAGTGCAATTCTACGTGACTTATCGTGCGTTACGCATCCGCCAATTTCAACTCTCAAATATGGTCCGTCAGCTTTACACTCAAACCAGTACATATGCTATAAAATATTAAAATAAAAATACATTTGTAAATTTATTAATCCTTTTTAGTTTAATACTTATCGATTAATTAGTTAAAATTTAATTAATTAACTAACTTTTATTTTACTATTTATCAACTAACTCTTTTTTATCATATAAAGTATATTATTGCTTTACTATATAAAAGTTTATTTGATATTAGATTTAATTCATTAAATTAAATTCTTATATGTTACACTTACTAATAAGTTATAAGTAATGATATGAAATTATAACTTATCAATGAATATAGCATAAAAGAAAAAAATTGTGTGAAATAGTTTTTATTGTATTTTAATTAATTGTACCAAACGTATTTCAACGATTGAAGCAATTTTTATTTATGAATAATTATTATTTCATAATGATAAAAGAAAAAAAAATTTAAATAAATACTAATAATATATAATTAAAATTTCTGCTTTCTCTTTTTTTTTTTTTTTCATATTAAAATCTCTATTTTCATCAGCTATCATTAGCTCGTTTTCTTATCTTATCATTAGCTTATCATACTTATTCACTACATTGTAATAATAATTCATAGCAATCATTTTAATTAGCCTTACCTGTTCATCCTCCCAGGTTTCACCAATTTTATATCGTTCACCTTCCTTTGGTACACATGCGGTAAATGCAAATTGTAAATAGCCATTTTTATCAAGGACACATTCAATTTCATAACCATTTTCCACAAATTTGTCACCAATATATAATTCACTATTTGTTGGTGTAAAACAACCTTTTGGTTCCAACATGCCATTATTACATTTATACCAATATTTTCCTTTAAAAAAACAAAAAAAAAAAATTATCAAGAAATATTAATTGCTAATTGATAATTTGATTTAAATTACAAATAAAATACTTTAAATTATTCTCAATATAAAAAATTTAATAAATTTTATAATAGCGGTTAGTTAAATGTCAATCTGTTACATTGACATATTCAAATGTAATTTTAATGAGATTTTTATTTAAATGGATTAACATTGTTTAATTTAAAACTTCTTCAAGACTTTTTTTCTCCTTTTTTTTTTAAACTGTATTAATTTGCTTCAATGATATGATATCAGATTACTTGTTATTAAGTTTCACGATAAGATAACATTTAGTAAAAAGTATTTTCAAGTAGTACTTTTTTTAACTGGTTGATATAAATAGCTAATATAGTTGATTAAAATTGTTTATTTTTTTTTTTATTTTTTGAATAGCCTAGAATTGTTTTTGTGATAATTTTGTAACAATCATTTGTATGAGTTGATGATAATAATTGATAAAAAATACTATAGGTTAAAAAATTTGAAATTTTATCATTTTTAAAAGTCTAACATGAATATTTTACTAATCATCGAGGAGCAAAAAATGAAAAAATGGCGAAAGTATGAAAGAATTATTTAAAAATTTTTTTTTAATAATTTTAATTTTTTTTTTAGAATTTGTGAAAATTTGGAACAAAAAAAAGGATAATTTCATTGCTCAAAATTGATGACAAAAATTTGAAATTTTGTATTTATAATACAAAATTCTAACTTTATCTTACTTTAATAATAACAATTCTCAAATAAATAGTTTTAAAAAAAAGCATTAGTAATAATTTTTTTTTCTTTTTTTTCCTCAAAGGTTAGCAAAATTTTTACATTAATAAATAGCTAAGATAAAAATAATTTGTGAGTAAAATTTCCGAAAACAATAAATTTATTTCTTTTCTTTTTCTTTTTTTTCGCTTTTTCCAGGAAAGTAATTTAAAAATGAAATTGAAAAAAAAAGAAAAAAAAAACGGAAAAACGGAAATAAAACTGAACCTCGATTAATACGTTCACCGTGATTAAACCAATGAGCTGATTGACCATTACCGGATGACCAACATCGTCGTTTCTCCCATAAATTCAATAATGCACCGTTTGTTATTTGTGCAAATTCTGTGACGATGATGAAAGTCGTAGGAATCCAGAAAAAATACCGGAACATGTCGTTTTGGAATTGAAAAATTATAAATGAAGAAAAAAAACTGTTTTGTGATAGATTGTGAAACAGAGATGGATTATTTGTGTAGAAGAAACTAGAATTTATAGTTGTTAACACGATTAATGTTCAAAAAAAAAAAAAAAAAGAAACGGAAATCGGAAAACGGAAAAGGTCAAGTGCAAGTTAATATGCACGTATTGTTGATGTGTCATTTTGAAAATTAAATTAGGAAAAAAAAAAAAACAAAAAGGAAGCATGTGAAAGTAAACTTTAAAATAGAAAGTAAGTTACGAAAAAAAAAATTTTTTTTTTAGTCTTTGATTTTTTTCTTTTCTTTCTTTCTCTCTTTCATACCTTCCTTTCTACCTTTTCTTTTTTTCTTTCTCTTTTTTTTTTGTTACTCTTAGAAAAATTATTTTATTATCAAAAATTGGCTGACAAATATCACTTCCGTTTTTTTTTTTTGTTAATTTGTTTTATTGTATATAATCGGTCATTTCTTAATGACATATAGCGAGTAAAATACAGTAAAAAAAGGTAAAGTACAAAAAAGTAAAATAGGAAAGAAAAAACTAAACGATTATAAATAATAATGAATAAATGATAATGATAATTTGGAATTATCATTATCATTGTTCGCTGTAAATGATAAGAGAAAATCAATGATAAGGCATTGGTCATTGCAAAGATAAGAGAAAATCAGTGATAAGGCATTGGTCATTGTAAAGATAAGAGAGAATCAGTGATAAGGCATTGGTCATTGTAAAGATAAGAGAAAATCAGTGATAAGGCATTGGTCATTGTAAAGATAAGAGAAAATCAGTGATAAGGCATTGTTCATTGTAAAGATAAGAGAGAATCAGTGATAAGGCATTTTTCATTGTAAAGATAAGAGAAAATCAGTGATAAGGCATTGGTCATTGTAAAGATAAGAGAGAATCAGTGATAAGGCATTGGTCATTGTAAATAATAAGAGAAAATGAAGGATAAGGCATTTGCTTACTGTATTATCATTTTTTTTATATTTTATTGCAATTAAATATTTATTGTTGTCTTTTTTCTTTTTCCTTTTTTTTTGCATTTTTTATTTAACTTATAATTGGTAGTCTTAAAAGTTTTCCATTTTATTATCTTCCAAAAAAAAAAAAAGAAAAAATTTAGTGATTAGTTAGTAATTAGTTTGAAAAATGCTGCAAAATATCCTAAATGGCAAAAATTTTAAGCAGAATAATTTGCTTGCTTACAATGTAAAAACTTAAAAATATGTATAAATATAATTTTATATAGGAAATGTTTAAACATTATAGCTAATATAATTATTGCATATTATAGTTTTATTAATTTTGGATTGCAATTTATTTTAATAGTAGTTAATAAAATTAATTTTAGTTAATAATAGTAGTAAATAAAACATTATTAAGCAATAAGTTGTTTATTTAAAAAAAAAAAATACAAAAGAGAAAAAACAAATGGAATTCGAAATTTTCATTATTTCAAAAGATAAATGATAATTATTATATATGCTAATGCTTCAAAATGACATTTAATTATATTTGCTGCAAATCTTAAATTCATTTAAATTTAAAAAAATGGAATTGAAATTAAAATTTGTTAATCTCCTTTTTATGAATATCTGAGCCATCGATCTTTTCTTTATTACTATTAATCATTACCTAATTTATTAAACCCGTATATGCGAACTTGCCAACAATATATTAATTCCAACAGGTGGAATTATCACTGATAATATCAATAATAAACTAATTTTTATGCACAAAATTGCCAATACTGTATTTTCGTGTATGGAATTATCGAAAAATATGTAAATTTATATATGTGGAATTATCAGCAATACATTGCTTCTCATAGGCGGAATTAACAATAATATATTAATTCTGATATACGGAATTATCGATGACATGTTAATTTTCATATGCGGCATGCCGATAATGTATTAATTCTCATATGCGGAATAGCGATTTTCTATTAATTTTCACATGCGGAATTACCATTGGTATGTTGGTTCTTATATGCGGAATAACGATTTTCTATTAATTTTCACATGCGGAATTACCATTGGTATGTTGGTTCTTATATGCGGAATAACGATTTTCTATTAATTTTCACATGCGGAATTACCATTGGTATGTTGGTTCTTATATGCGGAATAACGATTTTCTATTAATTTTCACATGCGGAATTACCATTGGTATGTTGGTTCTTATATGCGGAATAACGATTTTCTATTAATTTTCATATACGGAATTACCATTGGTATATTGATTCTCATATGAGGAATTACTAATATAAGCCAAATTACAGTAATACACTAATTCTGATGTGCGAAATAACCAAATACATTATTTACCAATTCCCAAGTATTAATTATATTAATTAATTCTCATATATGGGATCAATTTTGTCGTAAGATAAAAATAGTAATTGCTAAAGTATATTGATACTACAATTAATTCTAAATAATTGCTATATTTAAGTTTTTACACACAAAAAAATAAGCATTAAGCAGAAAAGGTGGATTTTTTAGTAAATAGCATCATTCAGAATTTGTCCAGCATTTTAACAAAAAAATGCAAACTTTTTGAAAATTTTTATTTTTTTTTTTTCTAAATTCCGTACTTCAAAATAATGTTTTTTGAATACAGTAAAATACATTAATATTTCTAATCTTTATGCAAAATTTCAATCAATCAATTCTCCATAGATAGCAAAGAATTTCAAATAAAGTGGAAATCAATATTTCATGAAATATACTTTGGACAATTTTTTAAATTATACATCCGGTTTACATTTACTTATTACAACAAAAAAATTTCAAAAAAAAAAAAAAAAAAACAGGAACCAAAAAAAATTTCAAAAAAAGGTAATTTTGAAAGCAATTACCAAAAAAAAAAAAAAAAAAAAGAAAATTGCATTAACTTAAAATAGATTTTAAATTAATAATAACAACAATAAATTTTACCTTCTAATTTCATATCTGATAGTTCTAAAAGGATTTTATACAATTTGTAATTTTTGGTAAACAAACAGACTAACAAATCCGTTGAAAAAGTTTTAAAAAATAGTGAAAGTTACGTGAAAAATGCTCATAAATAATAGTACTAAAATTTCTATCAAAAGTAAATAATTTTCTGATGTAAAAATTAAAATAAAACAAAATTCTGAATTCTAAATGCTATAAAGCAAGAAAAAAGAAATTAATTTAACATACATATAACTAATTTTGTTTGTAAAAAAAAAAAAAAATAATATCAAATTTATTGGAATTTAAGAAAATGAATGAAAATTTAAAAGTTGAAAATGATTTCAAATTTATTTCAGATATAAACTTAAAATGAAAAAAAAAGAAAGTCTATAAGGATTAGTATATATTGTAATGAATGTTAAAATTAAATTGAAAGTTTTAAGTGAAATTAACAGATTAGTGATACCAATCTGTTAAATCTATTAAATCAACAAATTAAATTTACCATTGCTATCAAACTGTTTCATTTTTTTGGTACAATTATTTATGGTGCGGCAATTTTAAAACTTTTTTCAAATTTCAGAAACAAATCATCCATTGATAAAATCTAATCGTAGACAATGGATTTCACTTTCACGAAATATGAGTGAAATTTGCAAAAAAAAAAAAAAAAAAAGAAGAAAAAGAAGACAAAGATATTTAGGGATGAAATTTAATTTAAATTTTAATTACAACTAGAAATTGAAAGTTTTCAAATTTAATTAAAAAATTGAAAAAGAAAGAGCTATTAATTATGTTAAAGAAAAAAAAAAACAAATAATTTCACGAAAAAAGGGAACAATTTCAGAAAAGATTTAAAAAAAAAAAAAAAACTAATTTCAAATTATTATGCCGGCCAGTTTGAGATTTCTCAGATTTACTGATCAATTCCTTTAAATACAGCAAATCAAATCAGTTCTATTTCGTATCCGTAAATATTGATTGACTTAATCCGATCAGTGTTTACGGAAAAAGGAAAAATGGTATATCCGATAGCAAAACACATTGATTTTTATACTTAATTATTTTCGTAAAATGAAAATTAATTCAAATCTATATTTTCCCAATTAATTAAGTTATGAAAGGGAGGGGAAAAAGTTCAATAAAGTTTTTTGTGAAATTTGTGACTATGAAAAAAAATTTTTCTTTAAAATTTTGTGACCGAAAAACTTTTCATTTGTAGCTCCAAATTTTAATTAAGAGATTAAAATTTTAATTTAATAAACTAATCAAAGAATTTTTAAAAGTTTTATTAGAGTAAAATGCATGAGTTAAACTTTTTTTTGCGAAATTATGACTATAATAACTACAACAATTTGAAGAAAATTTTTTTTTTTTAAATTTAAAATGTCAATAAAAATTTTGCATTAGTTAAAAACACAAATACAATAATAATAATTGATAAGTGAATGAATTGATACGAGATTTTAAGCTAATTAGCATTCTAATAATTAGCTTAGATAGATAATTAATGAGTTAAATTTGATAGTAATTATTGATCACTGATTTGGAAAATTTTTTTTCCGTTAATTTATTTACATTATATTAATCAATATTTCTAATTTTTCTAAATTAGGATGATAATAGTGATAATAATAATGATAATGAGAAAGATTGATCAATCAATCATATGGTTGAGCATTTATTGATCATAAGAAAAATTTTGTATTTAATTAAAAAAATATTCATCCAAAATCCATTTTGATTATTTTACAAATAAATTTAGTTATAAATCACCACGCGAAAAGAAATTTTATAATTATTAATTATAATTTATTGTAATTATTACTACGTGAGAAGGTAATTACCACGTATTCCTACCTAGTAAATTACTGCCTGTTACTAACGTAATTACTACTTAATTATTATGTGAAAAGTTTCTTCTTAAATTTAACATAAGAAATATATAAATTAATATTTGATAATAATTTATTAAAAAAAGTAAAAAATCTAAAAACTCAATTTAGTGTAGACTATTTAT